AGCTTGTTTTGTGCAAAAATATAGGCCACTGGATGTTAATATTTATCACATATTAAGCGTGTAAAGATCCACCCAAAGCAAAACGATTGGCTGGTCTTGTCCCCCACAAACTGTCAAGCTGTCAGTCCATATGACCTTGAGCTTTGCTCGCTGGGGTCTTGTAAAGCTTTCAACTAATAGAAAGGTAAAAGCGTCATTTAGAATAACCTGCATACGAAATAGTTAATTATTTATTCTTATCAAATGGCAGGCGTTTCGATAGTTATCATTAGCCCTTTAGTTGACTTCAGGCTTCACAGAGGGGAAGGAACAACAAAGTGCAAACAAGTCGAGGGGGGGGGCGGGGAAGGAACATCAAAGTGAAAAAAAGTCGAGAGGGGGTGGGGAACAGAAGGAGTGTTTCAAAGAAGAAGGTAGAAAAGGTAGAAAAAGGTGAGGTGAGTACTGTGAAAGTAGTGGAATATGAAATAAAGTGGGGTAATGGTAGTTTGAGGTCAGAAGTCAACTGTTGCTCTACAGCCTTTTTGCCGTATGAGTAAACGTTGCCCATGGTACACCAATGCCTTAAATGAATAACATTATTTGAATGTAATAAACATTGAAAGCATTTACGCAGAGATCGGATTTGCGTTTGGAAGCATAAAGGTCATTTTATTTTCAGTCAGTTGGAACGGTCGTTCTACAGCAAGCAGTATATCCTGAGTCCATAATCGATAGATTATCACATTTTGATAACAAGAACTCGGAGTCCATGATAAAATACCAGAAACCGAATGCCTGCGGTGCTCCCTTAAAAGCCTCGAACGGCGGTTATTTGACAGCCACGTTTACCCAACTCTGCCACAGTTCTCCAACTATCTTGACTGCCTTTGTGGTTGATAATGTCGCAAAACTCCAACGCCAAAGCACCCGGTTGGTATTTATTCATATTGACGCTGTTGTTGGAACGGAGAATCGGAATGATCAGATGCTGGTTATTCGACTGAATGGCCGATCATTGGATGGTGGATTTGCAATTAAAACAACGGAGGTGATGCGGATTACGTGGGAAAAAGACAAGCTGTATGTAGTAGTTACACTGAATCTTCAACATTTTCATTACCTTCACTTACGCTTGCTTATTGGCATTTTCAGTAATTTTAATCCACCCGATGGTAAAACTAGTTCTGTGGACTTGAGAATGCCCAGAGAAAATTCAAGGAATGCAATTGGTGGACGACTTACTGTGACTATTAGTGACGAAGGAACAGTTGCCCATTTCTCATTTACTCTCGGTTCGTCAGCACGACCCACTCTCTCAAAGAGGTTACTACTGCCCACCCACATTGACAATGGACTTGAACTGATTGCAGAGGTGCGTACATAATTTTATCTTTTTTCTAATAGTGACAAGGTTTACTAATGGTTTTGGGTAGAAGTATCCCACAGATAAGTAAGCGAATTTTTGAACTCGGAAATAGATTTAAATCTTATGAGTTCGGCACATCCAACACCACCACCTCCCCCTACCAACTCTAAGAACTTCACACCATTCACATAGTTAGGTCAACTTCTAACAAAGTTTACATGATAGCATTACGTCATGAATATTGTTTCCATTTTATCGTACCCAAGTAACATTTTACTAGAGAATTATAATCAACAATCTGTAAGGACTCAGCAATAAAAGAATGTTCTGTTTTTGCTTCCATCTTTATTAGAGTTCACAGTTGCACTTTTTATTGATTCAATAACCTTGTAGCGGATTGCTACTTTATTAAAGCCTGACTGACCCAGAAATCTCTATGGCAGATCCTCCAACATCTAGCTAGACTCCCAGAACCAGATAAGCTATAGCCCAGCTATAAAGGAAACAGACGTGTAGCACGGAGCACGTTTATTCAGGACGTATATTGCGGACAAAGTGTGCACACGCATGGAGCTACTCATGATCAGGATGGGGGATTAGGTTAAACAGAGGTTGATGATTGGTCACTGTTTGTACAGTCGTTGCACATAGAGTTGTACGGTGCACC